CTGAATACCATATATATATATATATATATATATATATATGATATATGATATATGATATATGATATATGATATATGATATATGATATATGATATATGATATATTTTGCATATATACTGCTTTCAACACCCTGATCTTTTTCTTTATAAACGAACATTCTTAACGCTAGAGGATTAAGAGATCCTGGAAAGCATATTTAATCATATTTGTGATCAATAACATAAACAAGACTAAGATGTAAACTGATACCATTTTAATGGCCTTGCAAACAAGATTTTAAAAACTAAAATAAAAGCACTGCTTAAGGTGTATTTTTCAACAGCCTAAAAACTGCATTTATTTTGGATAAATCTACTTTATTAAAACTGATTTAATCTTTCACTATAGCTACATCTAAATCTCCACATAAAAACTTGAAAAGGCAACAAAAAGTTTATTCGTTTTTATATGTAAAATAACAAGAACTTACCTTAGAGAAATTATGTCTGTTTCTCCCTTGCATGGTGGAAGTTCAAATTTGAAGGTGTTTTCTTTAATATTCATAGCAGCATCTATATTTATGGGGACGTTTGCTGTCACTGTGGCCTTGCTTTCTAGAATGGCATGAATTTCAGGTGTAATAATTCCTATGTTTAAGATCATGTCCTTCTTCATCCTGCAACAGAAAAGAAAACAACAGATTTTTCCAACACATTGTAACGGTGAGGAATAAATGATACCAGGAATTTTTGCACGATGTTCTTTTTAATGATGACTTTAGGTAACATTGATTGTACTTACCAAAGCCTCAGTCTAGTTTTCAGTTTCATATCACTGTTAATTATGTCAGGCCATGTGATTTCGGATGCTAGTTCTGGGGTTACTGTTAACTGAACTGTTTAAATGAAAGAAAATAAATCAATACATGCATTAATTTTTTTTAATATAAAAAAGACTAAGAGGTAGTAGAAAGGAATGGATTTCCTTTCATATCCCTGCTCATAATCTAGCAAAACCAACTGGCTGCATCAAGTGATTGAGATCTGAATTTTTCTTTGGTTTTCTGCAGGTTTTTTCTTTTCTTTATTTCTTATCTTTCTTCTATCTTTTCTCTGCAATGTTATTGCTCAAAATCTTTAACAAAAATGGTAAAGTATGCATATGTACATATACATGTTTGTATGTGCATTTAATAATGAATAAAACATATTGCCTTACCATCTCCAGCAATTTTTGTGTGAGCAATATGGACCAAACCTATTTGCCAAGGTAACCCAGTACATGTTGGCACAACACGCTGGATTTCTGCAGACATGAAATATTTCTCCCATTGAATAGTTGGAAGATTTTTAAGGACATCTATAGTATATTTTACCCAAGGAAGAGGGACATTTGTTTGATATGCCTGCAAAAGTAGATTTGATTCATGTAAGGCAAATCTGATAACCAGATACAAGTGTTATGAGAATAATTGCTTCCCAAAAGAAAAGCTTGCCAATAAGTAGTACATCATAAGTCAATAATATTTAGATATAATTAAAATAGGAATGTTAGATAATGTTTAAAATAGGAATGTTCAAAACCTTAAAAAGTAGATAATCATTTAATAGTAAATGTGAAAACAGTATGTAAAACAGGTACCTGTAACATTTGTTGAATACTATCCCACTTTATACATGCAGTTACAATTTCCTGTCCAAGTATTTTGACATATACTTCTAGATCAGACAATTTATCTGTTGTGATTTTCTGGTCAGAAGGCTGTATGATAAGAAGTAGAAATTAGAATGTTTATTATTCACTTGACTCTGCATCCTGATTCTGCATTTATGTATACAGAGCATCATACAATTGTCTTTAAAAAAATGAAATCCAGTTGAAATTAAATAAAAATAAGTATTACAATAACCATAGATATTTATGAAAGGACCTCTATGGAAAAGCAAGCTGAACCCCCCATCAGTGCTGGCTTTCTTGCCTCCTATTTGAGCCCTCTCCTCAGTGTCAACACTATAGAATTGCTTATAAAAGCTGCAACCTTGAAAGAGGTGGGACAGAAGACATGGACGACAAATAGAAGACACATGTGTATTTTGGTAGCTCTGCCGTGGTGAAATAACAAGAAATAGAAAATAGCAAATAAATTGAGTTTTTTTGACAGAGGTAAAAGCATCCATAAATGTATGTATGTATGTATGTATGTATGTATGTATGTATGTATGTATGTATGTACATATGTATGAGCACTGCTAAGCAAAGTCCAACATTAGGAAGATGCCAGTACTTTACCTGCTGTTCATTAATAAGGGAAAAACCCCTAACAAAAGTAGAAGTTCGGAGGGAGGGAATATAAAGACAGATCAGGGTCTGCAAAAGTTAAAACACTTTTGTATACAGTAATAATAGAGTAGAGTTGAGATGAATAGTAGATTAAAGAACTAGTTTGGTCTAGTGGTTAAGGAACCAGGCTGGAAAGCAGGAGACCATGAGTTCTAGTCCCACCTTAGCCAGGAAAGCCGACTTGGTGCTCGTCTCTTTCGTGCAGCCCAACTTGCCTCTTAAAGTTGTTGTTGTGGGGACAATAGTAAGAGGAAGGTGTGTGGAACATGTCCGCTGCCTTGCATTATTTGTAAAAATAATAAGGGTGGGATACAACTAAATAAAGTATAGCAATAGTAGTGATGTTATACTTGCAGCAGGGATAGTATAATATAGCATGGAAGTGTAAGTAATAGAACAGAATGCAGTATGATAGAAGTAATATATAGTATAGAAAACATTGTATTGCATAAGTAGAAGAAAAATAGAGTATAGTATAATGCAGAAGATATAGAAACTGTTTGTACATATATGTTTATATTTTTCAGTTTTGTACCTTGGATATTTTTCAAAACAAAGCAATTCCCCAATCCTTATAAGGAGATATAAGAATCCAATTGTCTACAGTCTAGTCTTTTGATGAATTTTTGAGTTTGGGTCAATTAAACAGGGTATATAGTTTAAAAAGAACCCATGACACTCCCTTACTAAAGAACTGAGAACAGAGCTGCAGAAGGCAAATCTTACAATATTTTTTTAAAAAAAGAAGTGATAAAAACTGTTTTTGGAAGTACTGACTAGTATTGAAAATTCAATTGATGGAAAAACAGCAGATTCCCCTACACATTTTAAATAGATTAACATGGTATTATCCTCTGGGGAAATAAAAAGCCACTGGGCAACATTCATAGCATAATTAACTGCTGCTCATTTACCTCTTTCTGACGTTGCTGTGAATCATGACCTTTGCTAACTTGGTGCAGGATGTCTTTGATTTCCTTTATTCTTTGCATTTGAACTCCCACCTATATTGGAAAGAAAAATACAACTGGGATAATACATCTACAAAAAATTGAACAGTATATAGTTTTAAATAAAATATTAATATTAAAAATATTAAATAAAATATTGTTCATTTGCACTTCTGAAAGTGTCTGGTTTGGCACAGCAACCAAACAAGACAGAGACAGACTCCAATGGACAGTTAGGGCTGCAGAAAAAATAATTGCAACCAGCCTGCCTTCTATTGAGGGCCTGTGTAATGCACAAGCCAGAAAGAGGGCTGTGAAAATATCTACAACCCCTCACGTCCTGGACATAAATTGTTTCAACTTCTTCCCTCAAGATGAGTGCACCAAAACAACTAGACCCAAAAACAATCCCACCCCCCCATGCTATCACTCTATTAAACAACTAATTCCCACAACACTGTCTGTACCCTGCGATGTCAAACCATATAGTAGGGCTCTATTACTTCTTATTATTCTCATATGTCCTATTACCTATTTCCTTAGATTCTTATGACTGTAACTTTGTTGCATCTCACAATTTATGTTGATTGATTTTATTTTGTATCCTATTATGATTTATGTTGATTGCTTTGGTATTCTATGACTGTCGCTGAGTGTTGTATCTATGATTTATGATTATTGTATTTTATGACTATGATTATCACTTGTTGTTTGTATGGAGACAAATTCCTTGTGTGTGTCCAATCACACTTGGCCAATAAAGAATTCTATTCTATTCTATTCTATTCTATTCTATTCTATTCTATTCTATTCTATTCTATTCCATTCCATTCCATTCCTTCCATTCCATTCCATTCCATTCCACTCCACTCCACTCCATTCCATTCTATAAATTGATCCATAACCTGCAGTATATTTAAAGACTCTACAATGTTTCTGCATTTATGAAAATCCCACAAAGTGAGCCATTTTTAATTAAGAATGGCTTAACAGAAAATATAATAAAGAAAAGCTGTCATGTATAGGTTTTGAAGTCCATACATCTCCCTGCCTACTTTTTAAAACATCAAATAATGCACAGATGAAATTCATGCTAAAGGGATTTTTTTTTTTAAAAAGAATAAATACATGAAAGATTAATTGGTAATATACAGGTCACTTAATATTGACTTCAGATGAGTACAATAATCAGTATCAGTTGAAAAATAAGGTACAGCTAAATAAAAATAACTATTTTCAGTATGAATTTCAGTATCAGAAATGAACATTAAGAAGTATAGCTTAAATTTTTATGCTTGTTGTCAGAATTCCCAATGCATTAGAACGAAGTGTGGATAGGAAACAAAAAAAAGCAAGAACTTTAATTTATAATTCTGTTCAACAGATAATTATTGTTCTATATTTAAATACCTCCAAAGGATAAAATATGCTGCCCATGAAGATTGCCTTGAAATAGGCCATTATAAATGTTGGTTGCGTATTCTCTTCTTCATGAAGAAACATTGAATTCAGTCCCAGACGAGCCTTATAAATTTCTGACAAGATAGATAATCCAGTAAGTCCAATTATGCGAAAACAGAAAACAAATACATAACTTTGGTTTTTAATTGCTCAGTGCAACTTATAAAATAGCCACAAAGTCTACAGCATGTATAAAACAGTCTGTTATAACAGTGTTGAACAAGTGGAACTTCCACACATATTCCAAATTACTCTGCCCGGGTTAGCCACCATTGGCAATATTATTGTTCAAAAAGGTTTGGGACAAATCAGAACAAATTCAGAATAGGACTACCAAAATGGTGAAAGGCTTAGGCCAAGCATTATGAGAAATAGTTAGAGGATCTGAGTATGGTTAGAAAAAGCAGAGGAGATATTATACCAGTCGTCAAATAACAGAATAACAGAATTGAAAGGGACCTTGGAGGTCTTCTAGTCCAACCCCCTGCTCAAGCAGGAAACCCATACCATTTCAAACAAATGTCCAATCTTTTCATAAAACCCTCCAGTGTTGGATCACCCACAACTTCTGGATGCCAATCGTTCCACTGATTAAATATTCTAACTGTAAGGAAATTTTTCCTTAGTTCTTGGTTGCTTCTCTCCTTGATTAATTTCCACTCATTGATTCTAATTCTGCCTTCAGTGAATAGGTTGACCCCCTTTTCTTTGTGGCAGCCACTTAGATATTGGAACATTGCTATCATATCACCACAAAGTCCTTTCCCCCCCCCATTAAACTGCAACCTAACTCCTGCAACTGTTCTTTGTATGTTTTAGCCTCCAGTCCCCTAATCATCTTTGTTGCTCTTCTCTGCACATATTTGAAGCATTGTCACATGGAAGAGAAAATGAAGTTATTTTTTCTTTTTCCAGCGGCGAGAAAACAAAGGATTATTAAAACCACAAGGAAATGGGATTAGGTTAGATGTCAGGAAGAATTTCTTAACATTCTGTAAATCAGTAAAACAGGCTGCCTAGAGGGCTTCAAACGGAGGCTGGATGGTAATCTGTCAAGTATGCTTTAGTTGATGTTGTACTGAATGGAGTATTGGACTACATTACCTATAAGGTCTCCTCTGACTGTATGATTTTATGATTTGGGTTTGGCATTCTCCACTAATGAAGGAGGATATATTCAAATCTATAGTTATTCTGGATGAAAGATGTTATAAGAGCATGATAATGGGACATTTTCTCTATTTCTAGAATGGCATAGGTTTCCTGATGTCTACATTCCAAAATGCCTTGGGATTATTAATTTTTGCAAGACTTGGAAGAGTTGTTACCAACTGACATGTGTAATATGGTATAATATTCTCTGAATCCATACATTTATATGTACTAATGGGAAAAAAATCTATCCATTATTCTTATATTATACATATATATGCTGTTGATCATATTTATATTGCCGACTAAGCATAATTTTGTGAACATTAATAGAAGGGATGAGAAAACCATGATAGATTTACCATTTTTGCTAATGCTTTTAAAACCATAATACAAATGTTCTGGTAAAGATAAATGGCATTGCTGAGCCAAATGATTCTTAAGAATTTATGTTTCTAGTAATAAAGAATGTGCAGTCAAAGACATTGGTGTTAATAATTTAATCACCATTATCAAGTAAAAGCTCATGATTATGAAATGGGTTCATGTGTGTGTCTGTGTGTCACAAAAAATCCAGTATTCCCAATTGCTAGGTCTTCATTTTTCTGTTTTCTTTCACAGTCTTGGATCAGATAACATTAGGAAGGTCTCACTTTTTTAAGATGAAGGATAACAGTAGCATCTACATAACCCCTTCCTATATTAAAAAAAAAATCTTTGGGAGGGTTGTATGAAAAAAAAAAAATCATTAGGAACTGCAGGTAGAAAGAGGGGACCAATCACATTTTTTCTCTTGTAGCAGCTCTGCTGGATTCCATAAAAGAAAAGAATCCTTCTACCAATAGAACAGCCGATCTGGATCCAAACCATACTTTGTTAAAGGAATGATAATAGAACTGATAAAGTTACATCTAAAACACAATGTTATTTCATGAATATGAGCATTCTTTAGAGGGCACAAAGTTCATCTGGCAAGTAAGTGCTTTTAGCATTCCTGAAAATATAGCTGGGAGACAGCAGGTCTGAATAATATATATAACTTTGGTCTCAGCTTTATGTGCGCTATTACTCATGAAATGAATGCAATGTAATGTCACTCCAGAAAATCTGTAATGTTGCTTGAAATGGTGCTAATTGAACTACTTGAATTGTATTAAATAATTTCACTTCTTGAAAAAAACAAAAGGCAGAGAGAAGGTTTTGTTAAGCTGCATGGGCAAAGTTTTCAGGTATGCTTTGAACTCTTTCTTTTTCTGGGTGTAGGTAAAGTTCTGTGATTTTCCCAGCAACTTAATGCTATGAAAATTCTTTATATGCAGCCTAATACAGCCTTCTTTTCTATTGTTGGATTGTGTCCATATTGTGAAGTGCACTGGTCTGAGACTGGTACCATTCCTGGTGTCAAAATATTGTTATGACCTTGGGTGTAGCTTGAGAAGCTAAACTGTTAACTAGGGGATTAGATTTGGTTCTAGGCAAAAAGGCTGTTCACCTTTGATGCTCACTCTACTGTTGTAGCAAGAATTCATTCCTCATCTCAAAGCTTCCAAAACTCAAGCAATTCCTACCATGCCTTGGTGGTCCTGATCTCCACCAACCACTTGGAGATTTGCTAAACTCCTTTGTGCTGCTATTTCAAGTATTATTATTTTTTCTGGAGACAAAAAGCAGATGCAAAGCAAGAAAAGAGATTGGCCATTTATGTTCCACTCTTCCACTGAGTGGAAAAAGTGCTGGGTAGTGATCCTGGAGGACTAAACAATGGCCATGGTCATGCAATGAGATAATACTGCAGAAAATGACAGTGATAGACCTGAGTGGTTATTGTGTGGAAGGGCTTGGTTGATTAACCAAGCTTTATCAATAAAGGAGAATATTTATAGATCAGGTTGAGCTGAGCTTGCTTGTTTTCTTGCAGATGTTTCATTACCCTTACTAGACGAGGGTAATGAATTGTCTGCAAGAAAACAAGCAAGCACCATGAGCACCCAGGGCCCCTAGTACCTTTATGTCCAAGAAAATAACATAGAACTAGAACTCCTTGATATTACCCTATGGTTAAAAGAAACAAGTTTAGTAAATGTTGTCAGGACTGCTGCAGTACAGTGTGCTAATTGTAGACGGTACAAAGGTACTCAGGGGTGAGAGGCTGCCAGTTGCAAGTTCAAAACAAACTCTCTCTCATTCAGCTCTAGGAAGCAGGCAATGGCAACCCATTTTTGAAATCTTGCCAAGAAGACTCCAGGGACCAGTCCAAGCAGCCCCCAGGAATCAAGATTAATTTCAAGGCAACAAAACCAAAATCTTCTAGAGAGGTATTTTAAGTCACCATTTGTTTATAAGTGATATATAATAGTAGAAGATGATATGTTGCTTACCGTCAAAGTACTCAATGTGGGAATATCTGCTGGCCGAATAACCAGCCCATCTTTCACTTTTTTCAGATAGTACTTTGAGAGCCATCCTGTAAGAAGAAGCCCTGAAAGAAAAAGGATGGATCCACCACAGTTCACATTGAAGTCTACTCTTTGTAACTTGTGGTTAAAGACATTTTTTTATGAGACTTACATCACTAGGTATTCAGGAGATCTGCTATCGGCTATTGCACTGAGGTACATGAAGACAAAGTTTTCAACCTGTATACTAGGCTCGTGTATCATTGCATTAGCTAAGGTCATCAAGACAGGGAAAGTAGGCTTTAATTCCAGAAGGACAAAAGCAGCACATGTGCGTACTAGAGGAGCAATTTTGTAATTCTTGATTATTGGAAGTAAAATTCCTTGTACCTGTGCAAAATAGATAGGAAATATTAGAGTTGTACAAAGATCATCTGATACATTCATGGCCCTTGTAAATAAATAGATTCATCTTATGTTAATCTGGAATTGGGAGCCTGTTCTTGATTGTTCCTGATTAAGAGCTTCAGCTGGAAAAGCCATATTTGACTTCTCCTTATTTAGAATGGAGAAAAAGAGACACAGTGTTGCTGTACTGGAAAAAAAGACAACTAAGGGCACTAATATCTTTCTTTTCATGACCATCAGGTTGAGATGTCTGATGCCACATGTTGAGATGGATGAGTGTAGAAATCAAACAAATAAAGAAGCAAACAATGAAATATTTTTTTCCAGGAAAATTGTCCACTTTGGAGTGTGTGTGTTAAATTTCATAGAAATCAGTGTTGAGAATTTATGTTATAACCTATATTTTCTTTTTTTCCCCTTTTCTCCACCAGAAAGAGATGAAATTTACAGAGATATATAGTTATTACAAGAGGACAAAATACGTCCCAGGAAAATTTTGCAACATTTCCATATTGCAGCACTTTTGACCATAGCGTGGATCATTTTTACAGCAACAATATAGCTTTTTTAATTTGATTCGGTCTCCATTGCCATCTGCCAAATGTGCAATTTTTACACTTAATAAGAAAAATAAACAAATGATTTGTGAAGGGGTTTAGCAAGCACGAGAGAATTCAGCAGCAATTAATGCCATGAAGTAAAAATGGACTTCAACCCACATAAAATAGTGGCATTTAATTGTGGTATTTAATGTAAGGGGAAGGCGGGAGGGGAAAGGATAGGAAATGAAACCAATGGGTGAAGAAAGGATTAGACAAAAGGATTGTTACTCCCTAAATTCAATATTTCCTCTTGTTGTCTTTGCCGAAGATTTATATAATCAAATACTTCTTGGCGACCAACTTTTGCCTATCTAAGGCATAAACAGAAATAGAATAAAAATCACCTGGTGTGACTCTTCCCACTAGATTGAGCTTTTTAACTCCTTATAGAAGTGAGGATTTTGAATGAGAGATGAATTAGGGAATATTTTCCTGTTGAAAATGAGTATGCAAAAAACCCTCATTCCATGTCTGTCTTAAAGCAAGTATGTAGTTGGGGCACAATGGAGGTGTTTTGCATAAGAAACTTTCTGTGTTCAAAAATCATACCCAAGTAATATTTAGGTGCTATTCTCTCTCATTTACTGAGGAGAGAACCTTTTGGATATTTCTGCACTTTGGGGAAAACGGTAGAATAATTCAAAGTGATTGTGTTGCCTTTCTCCATCACTATTTTTTTTATGTGAAAGCAGGAATAACAGTTTAGAACTTGTACAAGAAATCCCAAAAGCGACTCCATCAGTGAATTTGTCCTTTTTTTCCCCATTCAATTTTTTTCAGGAAAATTCCCTGATAATGTGAAAAGAAGATTCTTAAATGTTTTGTTTCTCTCCACTGGAAAATATTTTGGCCTAATACAATAAACTACAATCAACTTAGGTTCAACCACTTGTTCCATGTTATTGTTAATGTAATAATCAAGCAATAATAATCAAAACAAGCCAATTAACCATCCTCCCCACTTCCAAAAAACAAAAACAAAACCGCACACTTCTTACCCGTATAGGATCTTTTAAGCCAGGATTTCTTAGAGCCATGATAGCATTCTGTTGAATTCTGATATCGGAGGGAACAGCAGATTGCAGATACTTCATAATGGGTTTCAAGACCACTATGTGTCTCACATTTCCAAAGGTTTTCAAAGCCAAGACACTTGCATCTATGTCAGATGATCTTACGGCTTCAGTTGCAAAATCAATCAGAGGCTGTGAAAAATATTGTGTTATATTAAACCTGGTACAGTGTTATGAATAGTTAGCAGTTCCAATTAAGAATGCAAGTGCCCAAGGTACTCTTGTGAGTATCCCCACAAGTGGGAAAGGCATAGCCATTTCTTTATATGACGTTTGGATGGAGTGATATATAAAATAATAGGCATCAAAAGGATTGGTTGGTTTAGATGAGTTCATTTTGCTAAATGCAGATGCATAATTCTAGAAGTTGGCCAATATGGAATATCTTTTAAAAATGCAATATGGTTCTTAAAAAGTAAAGGATTTGGTGATATCAAATGTTAACAATCTAGTGAAAACTGGTATTGTAGCACCAGATAATAGATGCCCATAACTGCCTCTTCTAATAACTCTAGAAAATATTTTACATATCTTTACAAATTAGAGTATGTGTGTGTATGTACATATGTATACAGTATGCATGTATGTATGTATATATTTGTTTTCTTAAGTTTTCACAGGGACTTACATGTATTCAGCTTTGTTCGGGTATTTTCCCACGTCATTATAGTTGTGCTTTTAATATTGTAGCAACATTTCGGCAGAATCTCATCTGCCATCAACAGCAAACTCCAAGACCAATAAACACAGACCAAGACTCCCAACCAATCAGGATGAAGAAAAAACCATTCTGGCACAGCAGCAGGCTAGCCCCAAATTTAAAACAGAAACGGCTGTGAAAGTCTGACTGACAGACGAACACAATACTGATGATGGCAGATGAGATTCTGCCAAAATGTTGCTACAACTTTAAAAGCACAACTATAATTACGTGGGAAAATACCCGAACAAAGCTGAATACCATATATATAAATACCCGCAAAACTTAAGAATATATACATATATAAAATAATATCTTTCCAATGCTAGTGTACCACAACATAAACTTCAATATAAATAAAAAATGTATGACAGTGAATGATAATTATTCTAGCTGCTAGCAGTAATACAGATGCCCTACAAAAATGGTAAAATTCTTCTTTAGAGGCAACATTAAGGCATATATGGCACATTTACTATTGTTTTTAATTAAGACAAGGGATCTTTAATTTTTAAAAAAGAGACTTACAATAATAAGAGCTTCATAAAAATGCTTTATAAAAGAAAAAACACAAGTCATATAAAACTATCACAAGAACTTATTAGGCAAATATGCCATATAAATGTTAAATGTTTTCTGCTGTTCTGGCTGTTTTCCAGTTCTGGTTGGCATTAACAATTCTGATGCCAGTGAAGCAAAAATCTCATTTTAATGTTTATTGTAGTAACACCTAAAACTATTCAACAGAGCTATTTTCATTTGAAAGTTCCTTCATCTGATTTCAGTTCGCACTCTGGAGCTTAAGGATTTTTAGGTGAAGAAATGGAATTGAAACTGGGCAATGTACCTTGAGATACTTGTCAGGGATTGTGTTCGAGACGGCATAGAATCTGGAAAGTAATGACCCATAGGAGAGACAGATGGTAGTACGATAGAGACTCTTTGGACCTTTAAGAACGTCTATCATTATAGCCTGTGGAAAAAATATTCAGCGGTTGCTGTAACCGAATAGCAAAGGCAGTTGCAATTACAAAGCAAAAAGTTTGCTTCTTCTATTTAACATGTGGATCTGTAACATTGATACTAGTATACACAAGATCACAGTCAGCAATTAAAGATCCAAATATAAAGCAATTACGCTGCTTAGCATCTGTAAAATTGTCTAAGGTGTTTGTATCTTACCATGTAAGATATCTTACAATGTATTATCCCAATATTTCCTGTAAGAACCAATCAGGACCACTTTTTCCCCATCGCAGATGAGTGGCTTGCCTAAAGCCCTGATTGATGAGTTTATGACAAGGCTTCATTTAAACAAACAAACAAACAAACAAACAAAAGATAATCTGTCTCAGTTTCCTGAGCTGACACAGATATAAGTCAGCAAAGTATTTCCAAGATCTGATAAAGAGACTTGAATACAGTAAAAACAATTTCGGGACAAATTCTCTGCTATATTTGCAGCATTTTGAAGAACATTCCATTAGATGGTGTCAGTGCCCCAGGCAAGCCTGTCAATAATTACAGACTTATACATGGAGAATCTCCATAGTTTGTTTGCAGAGCGTATTATCATTTTAGAAGGATAGAATATGAGCTTCTTTAAAGTGACAGCTTTCAGATATGTTAGAATTGCAGCTCCTATAGTTTCCAGTCAGCATAGTCAACAGAATGTGCTAAAGCCAATTTAAGAATAAAGCAGAATAAGCTCTAACCATATATCCCCCCCCCCCCATATATTGTATAGCACTCAGGTTTCTGCATTTCACCTTGCAGTCTGTCTTAGCAAGATAGAAATTCATAATTTGGTCTATGAGGATGGAAGTGAAAATTCTAATTGAGTTATTAGGAAAGTTTTTGTTTTAGATGAGTTGGTTGACCCAATAGCCTTATAGATAATCCACTACAAAGGCTGAGTATGGAAGCTGGGAAATATGGTTCAGCAATATATCCAATGCAACAGCTTTGGCATCTGCAGAATTTCACACAGGCTAGTATCACTCAAGATATGGAGAGTGAATTTAGAGGCTAGAAGTGATTTGTAAATCTGTGGGAAAGCCAACATGCATGCATTGCCACATTTTAGAGTTCCCCTCAATTATTCTGTTCAATCTTCCATAAACAGAGGATCAGTTGTAAGTGTACTACTGCTTATAATGTGTGAACAACTTTAACACTATCAAAATAGCAACAGCAAGAACCACAGCAATATTTTACCATAGCTTCTTCAATGACTTCTTCAGATGCATTGGAGAAATGGAAGAAGACAAGCAATGTTTGGGCTGCTTCAATCATGGTGATCTGTTGTTGAACCATTTTGTGCCTCACATATTTTAGCCCTGTTGAACTACCTGTAGTAGAGATTAAATCCAAAATGATGGGTCTGTGGAAAAAGGAGACATCATGTTTGAACTGTGATTATTTGGATTTAAATATCCAAATTTGATCTTCAAGAATAAAATAACTTCCTGTTTTATCTTACCTATATATTGCCTGGCCATAATAGCGGTCAAACACTTCAGAATAATTAATTTCATTTTCTGTGCGCAAAAGGTTGACCAGATGCAGAAATCTTGTACTGTCTTTTGGGAGATTTTCATTTGCCAGGTAATGCAATCCATCCTCAATCTGTTGGATAAGAGGTTTATTTGGGGGAGGGTGTTTAAAAAAGCAATCACTAAACTCCAAAACATTTTCGGATATTGTTTCAGCACTGAACCAAGAATATTTACATGGAAGCAAAAACCCATTTACATTCTAACCTTTAAGCTTACCTCTTTGTTTCTGTTCTTGATTTTTGGTAATGGAACAGGAAGTGGAAGACTATCTTTAAAAGTATATAAAAGTGGCCTGTGTTTGTTCAAGTTAGAAGGTATTTGCGGCAAGCGGCTATGGGCTTCAATAAGTTCCAGTTTCTGCCTAAAAAATGAAGACACAGTGAAATTAAGAGAAAACAAATTATGAGCACTGGTTAGGATTTTGCCCTTGGTTACCAGCTGGTTTTTGTTTTGATAAAAAAAAAATCTAGGCACTTTGATACTGGGCTCATCTTTTAATACAAACGGTGCTTGATCTCCAGATCATAAAATATTGCTGAAACTTCAAAACTATGCTATTATGACATTTAAAGTTGGTTGAAAAAATATTCTGTATAATATTATAAAGTTTTTCAGGCTGATACTGAAGAATGTTAACTTGCTCTCTTTGAATCTGGACAGATGGTTTCAACATGACCCTTCTCATTTTACTGAGAATATTTGTTATTGGATAGATAATGATCAAATAAATAAAACAAAATATTTCATTTTTATAGCTAACCATAATATTCTATGATAATTTGGAATTTAACAAATGCAATTCCAGAAATACAATGGAATAGATGTTAACAGGGTAGGTAACCAGATACTATAATAAAATAAAGACATTTATAATTTTGGAGCAATTATAATATAGTTGTAAGACCTGGCCTCCATTATGACACTTTCTTCTGTTCGTTCTCTGAATGGTGAGAATTGCTGAATTTCTTGAGTAGTGGCTTGTATGATTATTTTCTCATCCCTTTCCTTCAAATTCTTTATTCTGTAGTTGTATGTACTTGTGCCTTGAAAATTCTTATTTTTCTTTACAAAAAAAATATATGAAAATGTTATTAGAAAGCAATTTATGCAATAAAAATGATAGAATGACTACTCATACAATAAAATACAGCAAGTTTGTTTGGATACAGTTAACAATAACAGTTGGAAGCAGGCAAACTACATTCCCTCCAGAACAAGGGAATCTACATTTTATATGACAAACAAATTTAATTCTTATATTGTCACTTCCTTGAACATGTGAAGAATAGGAAAATGGCTTTTATCTGATCTCTTTTTGTGTTATCTGCTCTGATGACCAATAGAAACAGTGGTGAACAAGATGAATATGGAAAATCAATAAGTAGGAATCAATGGAACATTTTAAAAAAGAAATAGATTTAGAGTATCTAAAGAAAAAAGAATGTGAAAAAGAGAGTCTGCTTGATTAAAATGTGCTGGTATCTTGAATATGAAAATCAGTTTACTATTTTCGCATAAAATTGTTCAAGTTTCTACATGTTTACTTAATGATAATGATGTGCTATCAAGTGAATTTCATCTCTTGGCATCCAGAAGAATAGACCTTCTCAAGGATGATGAATCCTAAACTTGCCTTCAAGTCTTCCAATGAGATAAATAGTATAGGTAATTTTTGACCATTCATTTAATGACTGTTCAAAGTTTCAGTGGCATTGTCTTCCATAGCAACAGTCAGTTAAATTTGAGACAACTTTCCCGTGTTTTTAAAAGTAGTTTCATATGGTAGCATGACTGAACTGTGTCAAATTACCTTAATCAAACTTATAATTTAACAAAGTTTGAACTGTACATGGAGCGTATGGGAATTTATTCCCTTTACATTGTATCTCCAGTTGCACTGATAACAAGCAATCCATTTATTCAATGGAACATTGAATTTTGTAATATACCTTGCAGGTGCAAAGTGGAAATCAGAGGAGAATTGCTAGAACTATCTTTTGAGTTTAGCGAATCATATAATCATATAATCATGCCTATGTAATTTAATACACACAATATAGTTCTCTATATAGGCTTCCAATTTAACGAATATGTTTCCCATGAAAATAGCTGAATGAATAACTCTTTCAAGATGCCAGTAATGTTCCTGTTCGATTAGACAAAAGACAATATCTATGTTTACTGCTGACTGGAAACCCCTCATGAACTTTTTGCATAAAAGAGAAAAAAACAAGAATTTATGATCTAAAGTTTTGAAGATTAGGCAAAATAGATTATAGAAAGAAGAATGGTGTAACTTTAAAGAAAGAGGTAAGTTGTATTTATAACTGCTGTAAAGAAGATTCGAAGCTATTTCTTTATACATTTTTTATTTCTTTTCTACTTTATTTCTTTTTCCCCTTAGGTTTGCTTTGCTATTTCTTCCTTGTTATTTTTTCCCTTACTCTGTTTTAGTTTATATTAATACTTACTCTTGTTTTTAAATCTTTCATTAAATTTATATTAAAAAAGGATGTCAGGGACTTCCAGTTTGAGCCTCTTTGCAGACAGACCGAAACAGCAATCGTGCGCGGTTTCGATCTGTGCTTGCCGCTGGAGTGCCCCGAACCAGCTGGTTTCGGGGCTAAACCACCCCATAGAGGTGGTGAAGAGGGGGGAGACTGCCAGCAGGGTTGAGGAGAGCCGCATCTCTACTCCTCAGCTGGCCATTACTCCCTTTCCCGAAGGCGGTTGCAGCGGTGGTCAGAAATGGCCACCTCAAAGAAGAACTCGACTGGAAAAGAATGTGCAGGAGGAAGATAAGAAGAGAAAGTTTTGGTTGACTGGGTTAAACTGCAAAAGCAACAACTAAGGTACCCTGGAATTTAAACTAAAAAAAAAGTAACATTGTTCCCAAAGAAGATTTTGAAGCAGCGAAGGAGAGAGAAAAGGGAAAGGAATTGTTTTTTTTCTTCTTCTCTCCTTTTCCCTATACTGACAGCTAAGAGATCTAAATAAGAAATTGGAAAAAAAATCCACTTTGACATCAATAGGCATTTAAGCTGAAAATAAAATGTCAAAGGGATAATAAAGATTTCTGGATACTTAAAACCTTTTAAAAGCAGGAAAGGAGAGAAAAAGAATAAAAAGGCAGGATCTGGAAAAAAGGGAGGAGACTGCCTGGAATTAAAAGGAATTTACAGTAAAACCTCAACAAGACTTCTAAAAGATACATTTTAACTGAAACTTGGCTACAAAATAGTAGAACCCCAGGAAGAGAAAGTGGAAAAAAGAAGCATGAAGAAACAGCTTGGGAGTATTTGGATTATTTGGTGATCTCTGGATTTTTGGTTATTGCATTTGAATGACTAAAATCAATCGGGTGGTTGTTTAAAAGTGTTTTAAAATGGCACTACTTTTAGATGAACTGAAAATGGAACTTAAAAAGTACAAAGAAGATGCACAAGAAGGGAAAGGTTCTTTTGGCTTTGTATTTCAATTCTTAGAAATGGAGATCTCGAACTATGATAAACAACAAGAAATGCCTGCAGAACAAGAAGACTGGGACAAAGAAGAAGCCATCTTTAATGAACAAGTAATTTTATGTGGGGAAAAAACGGAAAGGGGGGAAAGAGAATGAAAAGTTTAAGATTTGAAAAAACAACCAAGAAAAGGAATAATAACTTGAAAAATAAGTATAATATTAGAAAGCAACAGAAGAGAGGAATACAGAAGAGAGAATTAGAACTAGAGGGACAAGGGGGTAAAAAGGGGGTAAAAAGGGGAGGGAGAAGAAGAGAGGGAAGAAGGAAAGGAAAAGAAGTTATAAAGGACAGAAACAAGATATGGAGAAACAGGGCCTATTTAGAGATAATGGGTGAAAATTTAATTGAAAAAGGGATTCTGCAAAGGTACATAAGATAGTATTGTTATATTAGAAATAGAAATAATTTTAGAAAATATGAAACAATATACAATTAAAATGATGGATAAAATAGTTATTGTAATCTAGTGAAATGTTTATTAATAAGTAAATGAAATAAAATGAATGAGAAGATTGAATTAGGAAAGGATGGGGACATTTTAATTATTTAATGTTTTATAAAATATAAGGGAAGAGAAATAGGGGAAAAATTAATTACGGAAAGCTTATAAGTGTTCCCAAGGAAGTATATTTAATTGAAAAGTAATGTTAAAGATGTTAAGACTTTAATGAATATTAATGATAGAATTGAATTGGAATGGAATGAGTGTTTTAATTACATATATTTATAATCACTTTTTAAGAATAATAGTGTGTATTTTAAGAATGTACCAAGCAGAATTCGATTGGAAGTTATGTATTATATTGAATGTTATAACCTCAAGGTATATATTGAAGCTTAAATTAGAGTTGAATGGATAAAATTAAAAGATATAAAGGTGTCATACTCCAATTAGTAACTACAGGAGAAAATTTGTTTAATGAGAAAAGAAAATATGAAATTGAAACAGGACAGACAAAAGTATAAATATAATGATTTGAATTGTTATGAGATAATTAAAATAAAATTGAGAAAATTAAGAGAGGAGAAAAACTATGTAGAAAATGTAAAACAGTAATAAGATATGGAATAGAACATAAAAGTGAGCATGAAATTGAGTTTGTGTCTGTATGAAGAAGTGTAACCCGGGACCATGCTATTTTCAAAAAAGATGTTTTATTTGTATTATGTTTTTTTTTGTGAAAACCCAAATAAAATTTTCCAAAAAAAAAAAGGATGTCAGTAATGTTTAATTGACATAATTGATCTCTCTCTCTCTCTCTTTTGCAATTTGTGATTGCACATTAAAATGGGTCAAACCAAGTAATGAATTGTAATAACCAAAGACTAGTAACACGACAGAATTGTGTGCATATAAATAGCAATGAATCTGCCTGCATACATAAAATGGCTTATATGTTTTATATCTAAATATGTATAAACAAATTTATACAAATTTTCAGGACAGTTATCTATGTTAGCAATTAGAGAAATAGAACTAGAAATGAATTATGTAATACAAAAAACTGAGTTTGCATACAAGCCAGGGAAATGGTTGGCATTTGAATTATGAAAAGAAAAAGATACTCATACAAGAGGTAGCAACTGTATTAATGGATAGTCTGGTCATGAAAAAAACCCATTTCATCAATATTATTCTAAGTTGTATAAAGTAAGTGACACTTCTCTGGGGAAAATAGATGAATACCTAGAATTTTGGCAAGAGGAATACAAAATAAAATCAAAGGAAGAATGGATAGCAGAGGGAAATAGTTGCCAATGGTTTTCTTATTTACAGTTATTAGAAAGATTTAAAGCAGACAAGTAGTTTATGGTTTTCAACATTGTAGGATTGAGTCTGAAATGAAATTAAATGCCAAAGTGTATCAATATCTATTGTAATATAAATCAGAAGAAGAATGAGCGAAATAATGTATGATAAATTTGCACCAAGACAAATTCCTTGTGTGTCCAATCACACTTGGCCGATAAAGAATTCTATTCTATTCTATTCTATTCTATTCTATTCTATTCTATTCTAAAACGGGCTAAGCATTTTGGTTACAATACACAAATAGATGGGAAAATATATGGTTGAAAAAACTTACATTATGTTATAACCTTAAAGAGGATTTTTATAAAATGATTTATTGTTGGTATCTGTTACCAGAAAAATTGTCTAAAATATATAAAGGTATTTCAAATTCTTGTTTGAAAGATGAAAAACAAGAAGGAATATTTTATCATGCTTGGTGGACATGTAAAAAAGTTAGGAAATGCTAGATTCAAATACTGTACATACACTGATTTTCACGATTTTAAATATTAATGTACAAAAAAAAAACTTCTTTTGGGATGAACAGTTGGGAAAATCATGATTTTTTTTTTTGTGCAGGATTATTTTCTGCACAAAGATGGAAAGGTTCAGCAGTGATTTTCATTTCTTACTTCACATTAGTTTGTATTAGTTTTTATGTTTCTTTTTAAAACTTCTAATAAAATTATAAAATTATTTATTAAAATTGTTTGTCATCTTCTCTATATTTCTACAGCTTTAACATGTCTTTAGCATCTCTCTCTCTCTTTCTACACACACACACACACACACACACACACACACACACACACACATTAATGGTACTGACCTGTCTGCAGAACTCACATGGAATAACATATGGAACACCCACAACTTTTTTAGCCATGTTATCACAAGTAGTTAAATCTTTGGATTTGATCATCAAGAATTCATCTGGTTTTTCAGTGTTTTGAAGGAGGTATGTGGTGTCACACCTACCTTCAATGCCATTCTGCAAAATAAATAAATAATAAATGAATAAATAAATAAAATATTAGTATATACAATACAATACATACAATATAAAGAAAAGGTACCTATGAAATGTACCAATTCACTTGGGGAATTGCAGTCTCCTTTCTAATTCCTAATGCCTTTGATCAAGTCATCCTCCTCCTCTTCCTCCTCCTCCTTTTTCTCCTCCTCTTCTATTGTGCCAAACCTTTACAGTAGTAAAAACCTGGCAGGTTCCTTTGGAAAGTTCTTTATTCATTTTCAATTTGGCTTATTTTATATAAAGCATAATTTGGAAATTTTTAATAAAAAAACCCATGGCCAAATAATCTGATCAATGAGAATTAAACCTCAAAAGCAAGACATTTGAGAGCTAGAACTGGCATATTATCCTTAAAAACCCTAATCTACAATTCACACATTCCTGTGTTAGAAGCCTTGGAATTGTAGATGAGCAGATGGGCCATGAAAGCAGCAATAATTAGCTCACTTGCTAAAGAAATGCGATCTTTCTTTCCTATATTAGCAGAGTTCACTCAGATATCTAACAGTATATCAATTTTTTTGGTATTCATCAAAAGTGAAACCTCAGTACGTACCTAGAATTTCTACTAAGTTTAAATTTGTTTTTTCCTTCCCCAAGGCAATTTCAACCTAGACATTTCCATGTGCTTTATACTCTCCATTAGCTTAATGAACTGCTATTCACCGTTCCACATTGTAGCAATACCTTCACATAATTAGCCCGATATGAAATGAAAGAGGAAGAATTTGCATTGGGAGGCTGTTATTCAAAAAATCTACATTGGACCTTCCAATGATTTCCCCCCCTTTTCCCCCCTTCCTAAAAACAAAAGGCCTATGAATGAATTCTTATAAGCAGAAATGCCACAAAGCAATATGACATTTTATGTGGAGAAAAGCAAGGTTTTACACCTAGGCAGGACAAACCAAAGGTACAAGTACAGATTAGGTGAAACCTGACTCAAAAACAGTAACTGTGAAAGGGATCTTGGAGTCCTAGTGGATGATCATGAGTGAATATGAGTGAGCAGCGTGTAGCAGCAACCAAAAAAGCTAATGTAATCCTTGATCGCATAAACAGAGGCATAGAATCAAAATCATATGAAGTATCAGTACCACTTTATAAAACCTTAGTAAAGATCACACCTGGAATACAGTTTTAGTCACCACATTTCAAAAAAGGTGGGAAAAAAAATGCAGAGAATAGCAACTAAGATGATTAAAAGCCTGGAGACTAAAACATATGAAGAACGGTTGCAAGAACTGGGTATGGCTAGTCTAGAGAAAAGAAAGACTAGCGGTGACATGATAGCAGTATTCCAGCATTTGAGGGGCTGCCACAAAGAAGAGGGGGAGCTGTCAACTTATTTTCCAAAGCACCAGAAGGCAAGACAAGAAACAATGGATGGAAACTAATCAGGGAGAGAAGCAAACTGGAATTAAGGAGAAACTACATAATAGTAGGTTAACAATTAACCAGTGCAATAGCTTGCCTTCAGAAATTGTGGGTGCTTCATCACTGGAGGTTTTTAAGAAGAGACTAGTTAGCCACTTGTCTGAAATGGTATAGGGTCTCCTACTCGGTCAGGGGGTTGAACTAGAAGACCTCCAAGGTCCCTTCCAGCTCTATTCTGATTCTTAGTGATCAATATAATAGACTTTTTTTGAGCACTCTTTTATTTGTTCATTAGGGACTGTATATGGAATAGTATCCTAGATAATTTAGATATTGTGGAATATAGCCATCAATAAAAACAATGATCCTGATTTCAACTGATTTAGACTAATTTAACCAGAGGAAGATATGAGCTAAACAAATAGCATGGATAGTAAGTAAAAAAATATATACATTTCGGAGATCAAATATAGTCAGTAGACAGTAGGAACCAAATAAATTCCCAAAGTACAACATTCCTGTATTCAGACAGTTATTTTATAAGATAAATTAATTATATTCTGAATTTTCTACAAAAATAATTGTCACTATCAATATCAGAATACAGTTAAGATATTTAGTTTACATATATAAGTAAAATTAATTTAAGATTTTATTATGAGCAAAACTCAAATTTTGCAGATTTATTTTGTAGAAGTTGAAGAAGAACTGTCTTCTTTTAGCTCTACCAGCAAGTTATTTCAAATCTGTATGTATATATGTATGTGTATATACAGTATGCCTGGATACATACATACATACATACATACATACATACATACATACATGGAGTGGGGGAGGGAGGGAGGGAGGAAGTAGGACCATAGTCCAACACAGAGGCAGAGTCATTGAAGGTCCCAACTTTGTGTGCAAATTCCATTGAATTTAATAAAACTTAATAATCCTTTATTTCTATCTATGCCTTAGATAGGCATAAGATTGCACCATTAAAATTTTAGTGGGATTTGAATACATATATTATGCTCTGGGCTGTGCTCTAAATATTGGTTTTCAAAACTTTTCAGGATGAGGAAATTGTACATTTCTGGAATCTTCAATCCAGAAGCCAAGCTGTAGTGATAAAAATTGGTCTGTCCTTCAGTGAGCATTTTCACTCCTAGTCTCTCATGGACACAATCAACTTTTTACAGCACCCTAGAGCAGAAAAACCTTGCTCTCACTATATGATTTGAAGGTGCAATTTGGAAGTTCTCATTGATGCTAACATCAATGACTACACAGTAACAGCTGTGGATCTTCATTTTGGGACAACCACTCCAAACACAGTGAACGTAAAGTTGGTTGCAGATAAAGACATCATGTTGATCTTCAAAATTCTTGCCTGGCCCAGTAATGTTGCTTACAACCTCAACAGAATTGTAACTGTGTTATTGGACAAAAGGGAAAGCAGAGGGTCATAATTGCATTTTGTATGCAATTAGGTCTTGCATAAAAATTGTACATAGCAATGTTTTGTCTGTAAATGGCTTTTTCTGTTTTAATTGCAATAATACTCACTCAAACAACTGTTTTAAACTTAATGTAAACTGTTCTAAACTTGACTGTAAAAAATACAATTTTTAAAATAGAGTTGTCAAGTGTGGAATCCTCTACCTGATTCAGTTGTCTCAGTTACAAATGTTCACAGTTTTAGTCGCAAATTGACTTTACTTCATTATTGACCTTACTTCATATTTAAGAGGTCCATAAAGGGGGCATGTATAAGTGCACTAACGTGCCTATTGTCCTAGGCATTTTATTTTTATATTATCGGTGTTTTCACTTTTGTCTGACAAATTATGAATAAATAAAATAAATAAATAATACCACACCACAAATAAAACTGGAATTATGATTTACCTCTTTTATATTATATGTTTTTTGGTCATTCCTGATGGTATTTTCATATAAATTCAAAATTCCTTTGCAGAGGTTTAAAGCAAATTCTGAGACATGGTCTGGAACCATTATGTCATCGACATGCCCATTTCTGTGTTGAAATGTAATAATTAAATTCTTCAAGTGTTTCTGAAACACTGCAGTTAATTTGGGTGATGAAGCAAACTTGATCCAGGGATATATGCCATTGTAATCCAGTCCTTCAAAACAATCAACCTGTCATACAAAGACATTAAAAAATCGTACATAGTAAAATTTTATTCTTCCTAAATCTCCCATCTATATTTAGGAAAAAACACCTTTGAAGAAAAGAAGCCATAAATTCTCTCTATGTGCATATTAAAAATAAAGTGATATAACACTACTTTAGCATTAAAATCTTAATATTTATATAAAATGGTGCAGAAGTTATGTAAGTCAAGAGCTCATTGTTCCAAGACAGATATAAAACTTATGTCGGTGTAGATCAGATATCTCCAAGGTTCTCAGAAGAATGCACTGTTCCCTTACAAAGGCAAGGGAAAAGAATTTGGAGTTTAAATCCTGGAGTATAGGCAGATCTATAGAAAGGCAGGAAACAAGGCTGCTGTGTAGACAGGGCTAAATTTTTGCCTAAAATAGATTTGTTGTAGCCGAATCATATGTGAACGCCTTCTTTTGAACAAGCCAATTTCTGAATAAAGGATACACACTTCTGGAAAGTCAGAATTTAGACTAAATCTGAGAACAACTAAAGAAGGTAAAGTGTTACTTTTGTTGTTCAGTTGCTAAGTCTTGTCCAACTCTTTCTGATGCCATGGACCACAGCACTCCAAGCCCCCTCATCCTCCAGTGTCTCCCTGAGATTGCCCAAACTCATGGCCACTGCATTCTTGACACTATCTAACCATCTCATTCTCTGCTGTCCCCTTCTCTTTTTACCTTCAATCTTTTCCAACATTAGGGAAAGACACAATTAATAAACCCAATTAATGCTATTTCACAGGCAAGATTGTGAATCAGAGGGTTGGAAAGGATTTCCCTTCCTTGAACAAGTTAGCATAATTTCTAAACCAAATGTAGTCCCTCAACTCCCCCAAAATGCAGTAGATACCTTTTTTTTGATATTGTCCATCTAACCACAGTGGCATGTTAAGACTGGAGCAACTGATATGACAGGGAAAATTAAGATGTATATGCTCCAGAGCTACCCAAGACTGTCAAATGTATTTGGATTGTAATTTCCAGGAATATTCAACCAACAATATGACTAGGAATGGAAAGACCTTCAATCTCTACATAACTGAAGTCTACTTCATGAATATGTTAGCCTTAGTACTAGAAAAAAACATCCTTCTTGAAAGTAACCAAATGATAACTGAAGAAAATATGAACTCTTTATATGACTACTTATCTGGAAATGAGAATATCATTTTACACAAAAGAGAAGCAAATAATTGTATAAAATCAAATCTTTTAATATAGCAGACAATATAACACTTGCAAAAAAGGAGTAAGTTTGGTCCGGCAGTTAAAATGTCAGGTTAGGAGATTGTGATTTCCAGTCCTGGCAGAGATACAACTATGCCTATGAAACCAGCTGGCTCACCTTGGTCCAGTCAATTTCTCTCTGTCCTAGGAATCAGGAAAAGTAAAACCAATTCTGAAATATTGCCAAGAAAACTAGGGAGACTTATCTAGGCAATTTACTAACAAAAAATCAGAAGCATAAAAAAAAACGCTATGTAATGCCTTTTAGTAGTAAATTTCATTCTGCAAGTAATGAAATAGAGTCACATGAATTTAAATATTTTTGCTTGCCCAAAATGAAAATCATTTAATGAAGTAACTAATGTTTTGGGAAAAAAAATAGAATTAATCCAGCGAAAATAACTATGGATCTGAAATTATACTTTGCATCTTTTTAGTTTTATTTAACTATCATTATTTAATAAAGTGTGATAAGGCATCTGCTGTAGATCAGGAAATAAAGCAGAACATGTATTCTAAATTGGAAAAATTGATGTCTTTTTTTCCTCTTCCTGAACATATAAACAGCACAAACTCACTTTCAAAGTGGTTTTCTTTCCTTACCTTTAGAAATTTCCGGTCTTGCTCAACTTTTCCAATTTCTACTTTACACTTAGCTTTTAGTCCAGCACTTGAATAGCCATCTTCGGATATTTTGTTCTGAACTTCAACTTCATAATCATACACTAAAACTTTATCAGCACTGAAAACTGTTTCTGTGAAAATTCAAACACATGTTAAGATAATGTGTGGAGAATATACTGCTACATATCTATAGACTCATGAATTGGCTTTTAAAATTCTATATAATTAAATAATGCTAGGCAGGGAAGATACTTACGATCAGTTTTTTGTTGGCAACCTGAAAGATAAAAATAGAAGTAAAAATTTTTATTTCTGAGGAAAAAAGTATATCCCATTGTTTAAAATATAGAGGTATAAGAAACATAAATGGGTTGCAGGGATTTTGGATTAATGTTGCTGTAGTCATACAGAACTTTTAATGTCTCCATTAACGTGCAAAAATGTTTCCCTGATTTGTTCTGATGAAAGTGGACTAGTCTCTTTAAGGTTCTAATTCTGAAACATTATAAATCAAAATGCTTACTTACCCGCAAGGGTTAATGCCAGTGCTAAAATTATAGCTTTCATTATGAGAAGGGAAAGTCAACCAGAAAGTGCAAGTACCTGCTTTATAGAGAATCATATTTAGTCACATGACCATCTTGGAAAAGTTTTTTTGATGAGTAAGCACATGTTTAGTTTAGTATTGATTGGCCAAACAAGAAATAGTTCTTGATGAGAGATAAGAGATGCTGATGTCACACAATCATGCAATAGCTTTAGCCAAATCAATAGAGTAGAGTAGAATAGAATAGGATAGAATAGAATAGAACAGAACAGAACAGAACAGAATAGAATAGAATAGAATAGAATAGAATAGAATAGAATAGAATTCTTTATTGGCCAAGTGTGATTGGACACTCAAGGAATCTGTCTTGGTGCAAATGCTCTCAGTATACATAAAAGAAAAGATACATTCATCAAGAATCACAAGGTACAACACTTAATAATAGTCATAGGGTACAATAAACAATCAAATATTTAAATATTCAGTAATTGTAATAGCTAAATACTAATGCAAACTTGTAAGGCACAAGTGTTAAACTCAATTGTGTCATGTGACGAATCATGACATATCACAACTTTTTTGCCTTTGCGGAAGTGGGGTGGGCGTAGCCTGTGTGTGATGCATCCGGCCAGGTTGACAGGCCTGCTAAGGGTTCGACTGACATGTAATAAACATTGGGTTAACTATGGTCCTAAAATGGGTATTTTACAGTAAAATACAGACCTATACTGTAAGGATGAAAGAAATCCCAGTGGATTTCCAAAAATCTTATTCTGAACCACTTATTGGAAGACCCAACAAAACACTTCCTCTTCTCTACAACTATATTATTCCATTTCATTGGAGTTGTGTCACCCAACTTCAAGAAAAAAAGAAAGTTATTTTGGGATTCTTGATGGTCTTTGAGCTTGACTTCTTCCAAGCACTGATTCTTGCTAATATGGGTGTTATGTTATAGATGTGTGATATGTATAGGAAGAATAATTACATTTATAGTGTCTTTAGCAATAGATTGACACATTCAAACACAATTTTAATAGGAAAACTGTAGGTGTTTTGGACCAGAGGTCTTCAAACTTGGCAAGTTTAAGACTTGTGGACTTCAACTCACAGAATTCCTCCTCTAGCCACATTAGCTCAGGGAGCTTATGTGGGAGTTGAGGTCCACAAGTCTTAAACTTGCCAAGTTTGAAGACCCAAACCAGACCCAAATTTGCAATAAAATTCCTTACAGGCTTGGCATTCTGAGCAATTAGTCATGACAAACACATAAAGGTAAACTCGATCTACAAAATATTTCTTCTTCTTCTTTTTTTTAAAGAGCAACTAAAGGCAAGAAAAAGTCCTAAGCATATTTTCTTTCATTGTCCTATTCTCTTAATCAGTAGCTAGGTTGGTGTTTTCTGAGCTTGGTTGTTTGCTTGTAGAAGTTTCATTACCCAATGAGGTAATCTCATCAGTGACCTGATTAGGTCACTGATCAGGGCATTTATCTCCCCCATAAACTGATCAGGGCAAAGTCATCTCCCTCATAAACTGATGATGGTACCTGCCTGGCCATGAAATGTCTGCAGGAAGAAAAGTACACTCACAGAGTTGACACTGACCTGGTGGCAGATAATTAATCATTTGTAAAGCATTTCAAGTCTTCAAAAATAGGGCAGTATGTAAACACTTTTATCTATTGATACTTAGAATGCAATGCATTAAGCTGAGTAAAGGCCAAAAAAGAGACAAGTTGGAATAATGAAAATGAGCTGTCATTTCTCTCTCTCATTGATCCATTAACTACTATTATAATGATATCATGTCATAAATGTATAATAAAGGTTCCACATTAACATGATCTGCTGAGTGTTAGAAAAGTCAGCCCAAAATAAAATAAAATAAAAAAACTCAGCCCTTCTAAAGGAGATAAGACTGAGAGCTGATTATGTTGGCCACCATAATATTGATGGGATTCAAAATGCCTAAATGTGGACTATTCTCCATTTCTCACTTGGATTATAACTGAGGTTTGAAACTGGATTTGCCTGCTCACTCTCCATTCTTCCCACTGATGATTCAGTGCTGAGAATGTCCCATATGCCCCAGGGGCAGAATTGTTAGGATTTTCTGGATGGGTTCTTCATCCCGGTCCTTGACTTATGACCACAATTGAGCCCAAGATGTCTGTTGTTAAATGAGACATTTCTTAAGTAAGTTTTGCCCCATTTTATGACCTTTCTTGCCTCAGTTGTGAAGTGAATCACTGCAGTTGAAACGTTATTAACCTGGTTGTTAAGTGAATCTGACTTCCCCATTGACTTTTCTGGTCAGAAGATTGCAAAAGGTGATCACATGATCTTGGGACAGAGCAACGGTCATAAATATGAACCAGTTGCCAAGTATTTTGAATTTTGATCACATGACCATAGAGATGTTGCCATAACTATGAAAGATGGTCATAAGTCACTTTTTTCAGTGCCGTTGTAACTATGAATGTTCACTAAATGAACTGTTGTAAGTTGAGGACTACCTGAATTCCAAACTTAACTCCCTTCTATTAGAGGAACTTGAGTTTTTGATCTCTTGTTTTCCAAACCTATAAAAAAGGTCCATAAACTGGACCATACATTGTGTGAATTATGGATATATAGATGTTGATCATGATACGTGTGTGACTAATCTCTGACTAGTTGGCAATGTTGATGCTTCCAAGAACATACTCTGGGCTTGTCCGTTTTATAACTTTTGGACAGATTTTTTTGGGTGGGTAAGTGAGATTTTCTGTTTGCATAGTTTTTTTTTGCCACTTTGCATGACCATGTTTTTGTTTTTTAAATTTATTTATTTATTTGGTTTGATTTATTCATTTGGATTTACATCTTAATTTGATTTAAAGGCTGCCCATCTCATCTAGAATGACTGTTCCTTTGCTGATCTTGCCTCTAATTCCATCGTCACAACACACAAGCTTTCCTTCCTGAAAACGGGTCTGAAGCGGTGTTATCTATTTTATTTTAAAATGCCTGGAAAGCCAAAGAGAAGCTTATGAATTCATACAAGACCAACTGAATATGGAACTTCCTGACCCTGGTGGCTGAGAGATAGCTTTGATGCTGTATGGTATTGCAAACCACAAAAGGCAGAGTGAGAGGAAAATTACCGCCTGAAAACGTTTAATGGACTTTAGTGTTATTAAAGTGGATAGTTTGATTTTGCAGGATTTTTGCTGTATAAATGAAACATGGAAACAGCCTAATTAACTGTAGGAGAATGATTGTATTTGTATTCTCTCTCTCTCTCTCTCTCTCTCTCTCTCTCTCTCTCTCTCTCTCT